GAGCACGGGAATTCCAGAGATAGATTCACCTCCATGTCTATGGTTGTGCAACAGGAGAAGCAAACCGCAAAAAAAAAAAAAAATTATCCTTGGTATTGTATGCCGGCGAAGAAAACACACAAAACAACCCCACAAAGTGTTTTGTGCAAGAACAATGTTTGCCGGTATCAAGACTTACAACAGTTAAAACATCAAAATTTGCTCTAAAATAGTCAAAGACTTTGTGGTTGGAAATCAAACGGAAAGTACGGAGGTCCTTTGGATCAAGCTATATTTGCATCCACCATCAAATACAGGTAGCCCTCAATTTACAACAGTTGAACAGATTTAACAGATAATCAGAGTTGGAAGAGACCTTGTAGGTCATCTAGTCCAACCCCCCCCCCCCCAAGCGGGAGACCCTACACCATGTCTGACCAATGGCAGTCCAATCTCTTCTTGAAAGCCTCAAGTGATGGCGCTCCCACAACTTCCGAGGGCAAGCTGTTCGGAGCAGTTCTGGTTTCAAACAACCATGACTAGAACAACAGGAGGAACAAACTGGGTCTAAGAGTAGAATCTGCCATCTCGAGTGCCATCTGTTGGCTGCAGGATATCACTGGCGTCAAAAATGATAATACTCATGATCAAAACTGATGCATGATCAAACATTTGTCATGCCACGGTAGCGTGTTGCATTATTTCATTTATCAAAGAATGATTATTTTCTTTGCTCTGTTCTTAATATTGGAAAGGATGAAATATTATGATTGTTCCTGGGAAATACCAATTCAATCAAAGTATAATTGCAATTTCAAATGAGGAGCTGTTGGCGCTCTCTCTGCTTGGTTGTTTTCTTGCAGGCATTCCATGACCCAACTAGATAACATCATCAGGACTATAAGGGAGAGGAGGAGGAGGAGGAGGAGGAGGAGGAGGAGGAGGAGGAGGAGGAGACAACAACAGAGACGATGACTGTGGGGTTGTTTTCTTGCAGACATTTCATGACCCAACTAGGTAACATCATCAATGTTAGAAGGGAGTGGAGTTTGCTCTCTGCTTATATATAAGTAGCTTGTTTGCAGAAAGCAAACCCCAGTCCCTTCCAGCAATGACGGTGTTAGGTCATAAAATATCTGCAAGAAAACAACCAAGCTCAGAGAGCATCAAAGACCCCATAGTCCTCCTCCTCCTCCTCCTCTCCACAAATCCCACTCCCTTCTAGCACTGATGATGTTACTTAGTTGGGTCATGAAACTGCAAGAAAACGACCAAGCTCAGAGAGCACCAAGGACCCCTCATGTCAACCCTGAGCCACAGATATTCTCTTTTATCAAAATCTGAAGTAGTCCACCAACCTTATCAATGATCCGATGTTATCGTATCTGTCCATTTCATTTGGGGAGATTAATCACACCAGGACAACTAGATACAAATGTAAAATGGAACTACAGGTACGCCTTGGCTTAAAATTTAGCCCAACATTTCTGTCGCTAAGTGAGACAATTAAGCGCCTCATTTTACATCCTTTCTTGCCACAGTTGCTCAATGAATCCTGCAGCTGTTAACTTACCCACATGGTTGTTATGTGAACCTGGCTTCCCCATGGACTTTGCTTGTCAGAAGTTTGCAAAAGGGGATCATGTGACCCTGGAATACTGCAACCGTCATAAATATGAGTCAATTGCCAAGAACCAGACCAGACCAAACATCTGGCCCAAGAACAGAACAGACCAAACATCTGGTGCAAGAACCAAACATTTGGCCCCCAAAATCCAAACCAAACCACACATCTGGCCCACGAACCAAGCCAGACCAGTACCCTTGATCCAAGGACATCCAGCATATTTTATGCTCAGATGGGAATTTGGAACTCAAACTACTCCTTCTCTAACCCAGCTTGTTAATTCTTAAAAGTCACCACATTCATCTCAACTCAAGGTGACAGATGTCAATCTCGGGCCCCTCACTCTGTGGCTCCACCATGCGTGCAAATTCTCCTCCAAAACTTAATTCTCTAGCAGCTTCAACTCCTTTAGCAGACGGAAAAAAAAGAGGGGAAAAAAAATAATAGAGAAAGGAAACCTTACTCATTTGCATTTTTGACGGGGAGAAGCCGTTTTTCTTTCAGATAAGGTAGTTATTTTGCACATCTGGTTAATGGCCTCAGTAGCCATCATCACTTTGGTGGTCAGTGTGTGTGCCTAGGGAGAGGAGGGGGCTCGTGCATGCTTGTGGATGAATTACATCTTTATGAGACTTGGCTGGAGTTCAAGGACTCAACTTTTTAAGGTATTTTGGTGGTTCTACTACACTGGGAATCCCTCAAAGGGATTTGCTCTGGAATGTGTCAGCGCGATCCTGTTACAAATATCTCCTAAGTAATGTTGAAGGGGGGGCGGGGAGAGAGAGAGGGGGGGGGGAACCCCAGCCTTCAGCAATTGCTGGTAGATGCATCTGGCATTTCTGGATTTGTTATGGCTTTTCACACGGGGAAATTTTAAAAAGATAATAAAATAATCCCCCTACTTCAGAACATTTCAGCAACATTTCAGCAACCTCTGGGTTGCAACAGTCCATTTGGTGAAATGTTCAAAGTCACAACAGCACTGAAAAAAGGGACCTTCCAAAGATTCTTCAATATATTATAACAATTGGAATTCTTGGTATAAATGGTTAGACCAAAGATAGGTCGTGTATCGTAAGGTAAAAAAAAGAATGGGGATAAACTTATATGAGTGTAATCTAAACATAAATATGGATAAGATGTGGGTATAGGATTCAATCTAAGAAGAGAAAAGATCTTACAAACTGTCAAAAATGAGAATGTTTTTAAGTGTTCACCTTCTCTTCTTTCTTTTGCTTTTTCTTTTCTTTTCATGTTTCTTTCTTGCTTGCTTGCTCTTTTCTGGTTTTTCTATTTGTGTATGTGTTGTAGATTTGTTTTTTAATTGTAAAATTAATAAAATTTGTTTAAAAAAGAAAAAAGGAACCTTGGACTGTTTTTTCCCCCTTATGACCTTCGTAGCGTTGGACGTTAAAACCCACCCCTCTCCGAGGAAAATGAAATATTTTAGGATATACCAAAAAGGCAGAATATTTCCCTAAAAAAAGAGTAGAAACTCAGAAGCAGAAACTCACCCCAGAAGCAGAAGTTCACCCCCACCTTTGTTAATGGGTGGGCCATTAAAGCCTAGGTAAGGCCAGAATATTTTACATAACAAAGATCTACTCCAGGTAGAGCTATAGGAATTGCCCAGAGCCCTTTCATTACATCATCATCCAGCAAGGCTCACCCAAGCCTGGGACTTAGCACAGCCTACAAGATTTGCCCCTGCATGGCCTCATGGGAGTCTGACAATCAATCAGAATACAAGCTCAAATTCAAATCCCAACAGAGGGTATAAAACCCAGGCACTCTCAGCATCTCAGCCCTTCCTTCCATTTGATCCTGTCCACCATTAAACCATCTTTCCAAACAGCCTCCATGTTTCCAGTGTCTTTCTTCCCCACTTGGAACTGAACCCAGAAGGATAATTCTTCCAACAGTAGCATCTCCGTCTACCTTCAAAGGCTTGGCAACTGACTCATACTTATGACCGTTGGTGTGCCTCAGGGTCATGTGATCATCTTTTGCGACCTTCTGACAAGCACAGTCAACAGGGGAGCGAGATTCATTTTACAGCTGTGTTGTTAACTTATCTGCTGCAGTGATTCACTTAACAATGGGGGCAAGAAAGGTTGTAAAATGAGGGAAAGCTGACCTCACAAATGTCTCACTTAACAAGAGAAATTTGGCGCTCGATTTTGGTTGTTTTAAGTTGAGCAACTGCCTGTATTTGCCAACTTCTTTGCATATTTAGCCACTATATTTTCCAAGCCACAAGTTACACAAAGAGTGAAGGAGAGCCTGCGGAGACTCAGAACAAGACTTAAAACCAGTCACAAAAGGAACCTGTTAAAATGAGTCCAAATTCAAATCCAATCAGAGATAATCCAAACAGAAGTTTAACCAAGAATCCCTGTATCAGATTTCAGGTGTATAATAACACAGTCTGCAAAACACATCAACGTACTGGATACAAATTACCAACATTGTTGTTTGTTTGAATGTGGTTGGGAAAAATATTTTGGTTGCATTAAACTTTGCCAAACATTTTACATCTGTGAGAAAGGTTGGTTCTGCTATTAGGACATGAATCTATATGGCTGAGAGGGAGGGAAGGAGGGAGGAAAGAAGGAAGGAAGGAAGGAAGGGAGGGAGGGAGGGAGGGAGGGAGGGAGGAAAAAGAAGGGGAAAGGAAGGGTGGGAGGAAAAAGAAAGGGGGAAAGGGAGAGGAAGGAAGGAAGGAAGGAAGGAAGGGGAAAGGGAGAGAGGGAGGAAAAAGAAGGGGAAAGGGAGAGAAGGAAGGAGAGAGAGAAAGAGGAAAAGGGAGAGGAAGGAAGGAAGGGAAAGGGAGGGGAAAGGGAGCGGGGAGGAAGGGAAAGGGAGGGAGGAAGGAGAGAGAGAAAGAGGAAAAGGGAGAGAAAGGAAGGAAGGGGGAGGAAAAAGAAGGAGAAAGGGAGAGAATGAAGGAGAGAGGAAAAGGAAGAGGAAGGAAGGAAGGAAGGAAGGGGAAAGGGAGGGGGAGGAAAAAGAAGGGGAAAGGGAGAGAAGGAAGGAGAGAGAGGAAAAGGGAGAAAAAGGAAAGGAAGGAAGTAAATATGCAAAGGGAGGGAGGGACGGAGGGGGAAAAGGGAGAGGGAGGAAAGAGGGAGGGAGGAATGCACAAGTGTTTTCAAAGCTACCCCATCTACAAACTTCCTCCTTTGTGCGAAAGGGGCTCTGAACCGACTTAGTGGCAGAAAATGCACCTTTGGGGGAAAATATTAAAAATTACTGGTATTCCTCCCCCCTCCCCCCTCGTTGGAGTCCTTAAATGTTCAGTGAAATGCTGCTTTAATGCACCCCCATTTAATGCACCCCCGTATGCAGAAAATAGACGCCATTCCCCCCACCCACCCACCAAAAGGACCCCAACCTGAAATTGTCCTGCCTTGCAAACTGGAGGCAAACAAGCATGGGCGAATCGATTCTCCGGCACTCCTCCAGCGATGCCTGCCCAGCTGCAAAGCTTGTACGGTACCAAACGGCCAGGCTGGCTTGCCGAGCGCCGAGCCGATGGAGTGCCAGATCTTCAATTCACGTCACGTGGTAGCGGCGGCTGCCCGGCGCTTCCTTTTTTTTTTTTTCCTTCTAAGGCGCATGCGCTAGCTGCACGGGTTTCTTGATATTCTCCAACCTGGCGCCCTGCAATACGGCGCTGGGCTACTACCCTTCCCATCGTCCCCCACCCCTGGGGTTAGCTGGGGATGGGTAAATCAGCCCAGGTGCCCTTGTAATGAAATGCATAGGGTTGATGCATGCTATCCTCCAGGGTATGGGGCTTGTAGTTGAAGACTGATGGGGTTTGTAGTCCAGGACATTTCCTGGTGGATGCAGAGTTCAACAGCTTCAAAAGCAGTGGAAGACTGATGGGGTTTGTAGTCCAGGATGTTCCCTGGTGGATGCACAGTGTTGCATGTGCTGTTGGACTGATGTGCAAGCTGAGAACTGGGAATTGCAGTAGTTCCAACACATCAGGCTTAAGAAGTTTGCAGTTTGTATCCAGATGTGTTCCTGGGTTCAACCCGCAACATTGGTTAGCCTGCTCCTCTCCAAAATATGCTGAGCCACAATCTCCCATCATCCCCAGCCAATATGTGGCTGCTCCTGCTGGTTTCTGAAAAGAAGCCAGAGCTGGAAAACTTGATTCAGTCAAACTCCTCAGCTCCTACAAGCGATTTCTTTTGGAATAAATAGTAAAATTCAGAGCGCCACAACATCCCAAAAGATACTCCTATGTTGCAAATAATTTCATATGTCTGCTCTCATTCCTGCAATTGATCGGTTGGTTTATTAGTCCTGGTTGTTTGCAAGACCAAAACATTCAGTAAATTATTTGGAACCAAGTTACATTTTTATTTTTACAATTGCTGCCAGGACTTTCAGTATATCACTAGTCAATTTTTCCCATTCCCCCGACCCATAAATTAATATTACAGATAGTTTTTAAACCATTTAGTGGCCATTCAAACCAACAACAGCCTTGGAAAAAGTGACTCAATGACCATTTTTCACATTTACAACGGTTGTCAGCATCCCCATGGCCACATGATCAAATTCGGATGCTTGGCAAGCGACTCGTATTTATGATGGGCATGTCATACAATTCCCCTTTTGCAACCTTCTGGCAAGCAAAGTCAACAGGGAAGTCAGATTCACTTTACAACCGTGTTAACAACTGCACTGATTCACTTAACAGGAAAGGTTAAAATGAGGCAAAACTTACTTTAATGGTCTTACTTAGCAACATATACCTTGGGTTCAGTTGTGGCTGTAAGTTGAGGACTACCTGGATTAAGAATCATGGCTAAAGAATCAAGACAAATTCCTTGTGTGTCCAATCACACTTGGCCAATAAAGAATTCTATCTATCTATCTATCTATCTATCTATCTATCTATCTATCTATCTATCTATCTATCTATCTACCTACTACCTACCTACCTACCTATCATCTTAGGTTTGTCCCTGACCTTGGAGCTAGGAACTATATATCTCTGTCTGTCTGTCTGTCTGTCTGTCTGTCTATCCATTTCTCTCTCATCTGTCTGTCTATCTATCTATCTATCTATCTATCTATCTATCTATCTGTCATCTATCTATCTATCTATCTATCTATCTATCTATCTATCTATCTATCTATCATCTATCTATCTATCTATCATCTATCTAGGTTTGTCCCTGACCTTGGAGCTAGTCTGTGTGTGTGTGTGTGTGTGTGTCTATCTATCCAACCATCTCTCTCTCTCATTCATCTATCTATCTATCATCTGTCTGTCTGTCTATCTATCTATCCATCTATCTATCTATCTATCATCTATCTATTATCTATACCTATCTAAAGACGAAAGCCTTGTGGATAGTTGGAAGAATCTATTAAATCTATAAAAGACACAGTTTTGCAGGCAAAGGGTTGTTTACAAGGTCTGGACACGCTATTCACTTCATGGTTGGTTTGGTTTTTTTCCTGCCACCCTGATCCTTTTTGATAAAAATATTTCTTTTCTTTTTTTTTGCAACTTCTTCTCATCCACTGCCCAACTCCAAAGCAAGCAATCTGTCACAGACAAAAGAGATTGTCAGCAAAATCCTCTGACTGGCTGCAAAATAAATCTTCTTTATTGGGGAGGGAGTAAAGCTTTTTAGTCCTAAAAGCACACTGTGTCCTTTTCATAATTTTAATCATGGAAGGTTCTTCTCTTTGCCTATTGCTCTGGTGGCCCGTGAAGAGTTTCAAAAGATTTGGGGTTAGGTTTCTGGATTAGCTGAAACTAGAGTGCCTTAAACCTCTTTAGAGAGTAGGATTAAATCTACATCAAGCCTAAGACAGCTTCGCTCAGGCCCACTCCCCAGGTAAAGCTAAATTAAACAGCGAGCATATTTGTGTGGCTTGGTAATGGCACAAGTATTTGACAACCCTACCAGAAGCACTGGAGGAAGGAACACGCAGGAGGGGGAAGTTTTTGAAATATGTGCGCTGGCTGAGAAGGAGCACGCCGTTTGCAAAAAGTAGAGGGTTTTTAGCAGTGAATATTGCTCTAAAACAGAACAAGAGAGTTGGAAGGGACCTTGGGAGGTTTTTTAGTCCAACCCACAGCTCAGGCAGGAAATCCTATACCATTTCAGACAAACTTCCAGTGTTGCCGCATTCATAACTTTTGGAAGGAAGCCGTTCCACTGGTTCATTTCTCCTTAGATCTAGATTGCTTCTCTCCTTGATTAGTTTCCGTTCATTGCTTCTCGTCTTGCCTTCTGGTGCTTTGGAAAACAGGTCAACCTATTTTCCAATGTCTTTGACCAACACCCAAAATGTTAGATCACAGGTGGAGGAATGTGATGGTCAGTTTCACAAGCCAGCCACTGGCAAAGCCGTGAAATTGCCCACCAATCTATTATCAGGACTCTCTGCCATACCAAACGGTGGTCTGTTTAGCTGAATTACCCATGGTTGACATGGGGCAGGAAGTACAAAATTATGGTTCTTCAAACCACAGTGGGTACATTCACACAACAGATTCATTCAACCAAAGCTAACTTTGGTATGGTTTAAGGCAAAGTTTTTTAAACTTGGCCACTTCAAGATAGGTTGACTTCCATTTCTAGAATCCCCCAGCAGGCCTTAAGACAGGTAGACTTCCACTCCCAGAATTCCTTGGCAGGTAAACTCCACCTATTAAAAATTGCCAAGTTTGAAAAACATCTCTCTCTCCTTCTCCCTCCCTTTCTCTCTGTGTGTATGTATATATGTATATATATCTACCGGTATATATGTATATATCATCTCTCTGTGTATCTTCTATCAATACCTATATATCCATATATCAGTCTATCTCTATTTATCATTACATCTAATGTATCATCTACCTACCTTCCTACCTACCTATAACTCTATTAATCTATATCAACCTCTATATCATATCTATCTATCATCAATATTAATCCATATCTACATCATATATATCTATATTAATCTATCAATCTCTATATACATCATATCTCTATCTATCTATCTATCTATCTATCTATCTATCTATCTATCTATCTATCTATCTATCTATCTA